CCCCAAACCCCCCCCCCCCCCAAAAAAAGACATTGCACTCAGATAGTAAATGATTAAAAAATTAACATTTTTTTGGTGAAAAAAGAACTTAAAGACTCTAATGTAACATAATATAGTATAGACATGGATTAATTCAAAAATAGCCACATAATTCTGTATCAAAGTAAACATTGCTTTAGCAAGAAGAGTGAATACTTCTACATATAAAGGCAGGACCAAAAATAAACAATGCCACCACCTAGTGAAGTATATGTACCGTATAGGTATCTATCAGAATAATACACTGAAATTTACCTTCTGGAAAAGTAGCTCGGTAGTCTACAGATTCATTTGAAACCATTTCTGTAGTTGGGCTTACACTTCGGGCACTTACAAGCCTGTCCAAATGAGGGGTGTGAACTCTTGCATCATAGCGAACTAATTCACTGCCCAGGTCTTAAAACAGAGAGAAAGAAAGAGCTTGTTAAACTTGGTTATCACGGTTCCCAGGAGACCTTGACCCAGTGCCCAGAATTCAGGTTTTATGGATTAAGTACACACGAATGTGTAACAATTTTAAACTGTAATGACATCACTACAAAGGGAACATCTAAAAACAAACAATAACAACAACAAAAAGTGCACCTTTAATTCGCTTTCTCTTTTTCAGCCACAGGAAAAGCCCGAGTAGTAATAAGAGTATTGTTGATATTGCGGCAACACCCACAATCAGTCCTGTAAAATTCTGGTCAGGTTGAACTATTACTTTCCCAAGTAAGGTTGAAGAAACTGCTTGCTTCCACTAAAAATGACATAAAGAAAACTCCATTTAGCCATGACAGAGACAAAACAGCCTACACAGACTGAAGCACAATGTCTTTGGGTCCAAAACACCAACTGGTTATCACAGTCCAGAAATATATTGCCTTCACAATCAAAGATTCCTCAGTTCTGTTTCAGTGTTCAAATAAGTAGGGCATACTCATCCCCAAAGTACTTACATTATAGTTTGCTGTATTTACAACCAGGTATTAAGGATAAAAGATAAATAAAAATCGGTCTCTGATCTTGAGAAATTGAGATACAGAAGAGATGTTTGAGGCATATCTGTGCCATTGTAAGCCAAACTGTAGCTGTTTAATATGTGAAATCTAATTGGCATCTTTGGTTGTAACATCTGACATATATGTTTATGTATTCTGAAGATTTTAGATGGATAGTAGTCTGAGAGGTTACTAAAGGTAATAAGCCATTTTATGTTTCTTTTACAGAGATTATTAGAAAATACAGGGTCTTTTTTTGCAAGAATTTTTGTCTTAAAAGATAATTTGTTTTGGGGCCAGCAGTTAGTGTAATGGCTATGTCGCTGGACTCCCATGTAGCTGACCCGGTTTGAGTCCCGGACCCGGTGGCTTAAACTCACGCTGGGCATGTGTGCATGCGTGCCTAAGATCCCAAGAGGAGAATGGAGAAGGGATTATGGCATGGCCAACCCCCTTGGGGGGTGATTTCTCGCTCTCTGTCTCTCTCTGTCTTTCTGGTGAGTGCGCACATGCCTTATAGCAAAAACCTCTCCAAAAAAAAAAAAAAAAAAGATGATTTGTTTTAATATTCTGTTTTTCAGATAATGAAAGTTTTTTTTTTAATTATTTTTATTTTATAAACTTAACATGCTTCTGTGTTGGAAAGCCTTTTTGATTTAAAACCTGTTGGGGCTTATAGTATACTACTTGTTCAGCTTTAGGAAAAATCACTCCTTTTCCCAGATCAGACTAATGCTTCTAAAAAAATAAATGCTTTCAATAGCAGAAATGGCATTGCTTAATAAGCAGGATAAGCATTTGAGGTAGTGTTTTATTAACATATTTCTAAGTACTTGTTCATCATGAAACTGTGTACTTGACTAAAAATGTATGTGGCTATGGAAACTACTTTTGTAATTCAGGATATACAAGTTCTGTGTGTGTTTAGCTTATTGTATTAAATTAGTATTGCACTTAACCTAAAATAAGGATTAAAGCTGCATTTAAAGAGATCACTGAATGTTACTCTTTGTGAAATAACATTTTATGCACCATATGTAAATACTATCTATAAATCAGTACTTAGAAAACTTATTTTCTCAACTTTTTAATACAAGGAATAAAGTGTAAAGCAATTAGATTTTAAAATAGACAAACACATAAATAAATGGTTATAATACAATATAATATATACCAGAGAAGTATGAATAAATAGTAAGAAAGAGAGACAATGGAACATCAATTCTGTCCTAAAGGATGAGGCAGAGGGCAGAAATAAACATTTCATAAGAGCTAAGTAATCATATTGTTATTTTGGAACACTAAAGTCTTATAATATTTAAGTTTCATTACACTGAAGAAATCTTTAAATTCCTTAATGGCACTAATTCTAATTTTTAGTATTTATGGTCCTTATGAAATTCCAACTCTAATTTCATGATTCTGCCTTAAATTTTCTAATTTTTGGTACCTTTCCATGTCATACATCTTTAGAAGACATCAGGAACTCTTTAAAAATCACTTACTATTAGATAAACAAAATGTGGTATGCACAATGGAATATTATTCAGCCATACAAAAATTCTGACACATACAACATGGATGAATCTTGAAAATATGCTAAGTAAACTAAGCCAGACACAAGCATACAAATACTGTTTGAGTCCACTTACATGAAATATCTAGAACAGCCAATGCACAGGGAAAGAAAGGAGAGGAGAGGTTACCAAGGGCTGGGGTTGGGGCAGAGAGAGAGGGGAATGAGTAGAGTTAATACTTAATGGTTATGGAGCTTCTGTTTGGGACGATGAAAAAGTATGGCCATTAGATAGTGTTACTAGTCACACAAACTTGTTACTACAATTAATGACACTGAATTGTCCATTTAAAAATGGTTAAAATGGCAAATTCTGTTATATCTATTTCACCACAACTTAAAGAAATTAGCAGTACAACACCCGAACTCATGGAACTAAATACTTTTTTAAAGCCTCCAGGTACAGGACTTGAACGTGATCAGTCATTTAGGAGTCCAGCACCTTAACTGCTATACCACCTGCTGGTCCCTTGAACTGAATACTTTAAATGGGTGAATTGCATGGTGTATGAATTACATCACAATAAAGCTGTTAAAAAAAGTGGAAAAAAATCATTCACCCGAATTCTAGGTTATGGGATTTAGCTGCCTAAGGGAAAGAAGTTACTGTAAAATAGTTTAATTATTACTTTTACTGTTCCACGTGCATACATGTCTCTTCCAGGATTCTATGCATTTGTGATCACTGTAGTATGAAGATGATGATCAGAGGTGGGGAGACACTTGGTGTGTCCTAAACTCTTCGGAGAATTATAGCAAATGTTGGCAAGAGTGTGGCATGATAAAGAGGCGGTATGGGGAGAAAGGACTTTTAAGACCTACCCTCCTAAGCTTGGGAAAGGAAACAGTGTGACAAAAAACTCACTATTTCTAAAATAACAACTAGGAGCAGAGGCTGAGTTGATGAGCCAAAGCCAACACATAAATGAGCTTTAATGATTTATTTTAAGCCTGCAAATGACATAATTACACTGGCTTCCTTATTTACATCATGAGAGGAATGTAGGAATCCCACCTCTATATTTAGCTCGCTGTTCAATTTCAGCAGGTCATTGGGGACTGTACATAAAACGGCTTCAGAATGTGAGTGTATGTTCTCACAGCTCTTATTTCCAACTTTTAACACTTCACCTTTAACTGCTTCAGGGTCAATATCATTTCCCTGGGAGAGAAAAAAAAAAAAAAGAGAGGTTGTTAACACTTCATAGTTTCACAGGAATGCTAACAATTGTAAAAGAATATAAATATACTGTAGCAGGCTATGGCAACGTTTGCAAGGCACATGATTTTATAATACTCGTTTTCATGGGAATTGGAACAGGATCATTACAGGGCACTAATTAGTCAGGAGTTATGGCATCTAACTGTTCTATCCGACTGGATTCTGGAGAAAAGGAAAGGCATTCTTGTTTTACATCCTCGCATTGAATGACACTGTACTCATAACCAGACATTTTTAATTTTGGGGGTATGGATGTTAGGTAAAAAAAGAAACAATTTAGAGTTGAGTTATTGTATTACCTAATACTACCTAATGCAGTGATTCTCAACCTTGGCTTCACTTTTATCCACAGAATCACACTGACAGCTTTAAAACAAAACAAAACGAAACAAAACAAAACACCGTTGCCTGAGTCCCACCTCGAGTCCCATCTGATGTCACTGGTCTATGTTAATATAGTCCTTTTCTGTTTGAGTTGGGCAGTTTGTTTACCTTCCTTGGACACTTGAATCCTACACACAAATTATTTCATTTTTAAAGGCATTCTTGCACAATGCCATATGACCATTATGATTTGAGAGTACAATGACATGATCTTGATTTACAGTTACACAAGGATCCTTTTAAAAAACATGATTTAATTCAATATATTTAGTTAACTGAAGTTACCATCAAGCATTTTTAAAACATCAACGTTTTGTTGAAGAAACCAATAATTAGCTTTGGGAAAGAAGTGTAAATGTAGGTACAATTTTTCATATCAAGACTTAATGAGCATAGTTATTTATTAAACAAACCATTATTGTGAGGGAAGATATATCAAATACCATTAGTATTTTTCTTATGGGAAAAGAGCAGCCAGAAATAACTATAGCACTGCTACTTTGCTGTACGTAATACTTTAATACTTGGCACACTGCTTTCACATACATTGTCTCTTACAGATCTCAACAGATTGGTAAGTCAGATATTATTCTAGGAGAAGAAGTTGGAAGAAGATATTTCTTTATAACGTAAAGCTGGAGTTTACTTAAAGATGGCTATAGACCAACTCTATCCTTATGCTATTTCTAGAGGCAGTATGTGTAATCCATTGAACCCGGTCAGCCACACAGGGCAACTCAATGAAGAAGCACATAAATCTAACAGGTCACTTGGGGCTTCAAATGACAACGTGTTGGTTAGGTCTGAGGAGGATGAAGGCCCTTACTCACATGTTGGAGGGAATTCAGAGAATGACAAAAAAGATTAAAGGGGTGGAATGCTTGATTTATGAGGGAAGGACTACGACGTGTCTTGCCTGCTGAGATAATAACTAAAGTTGGGGGGAGGGAGGAACACACTGTATCTACGCTTCCAACACACATTCTTTTTGACTTAGGATCTCCTTGGGTGTTGTATAAAGGTTTCTCTAAAACAATAAAAAAAATGATCATACAGCTGAACAACTCAATTCCTCTTTTTCATACTGACGAAAGAACACGTGGGAAGCAACGACATATATAAGAAATTACTGTAAACTTTATATTAATATATTTAATGTTTTAAAAGCCTAAAGTCTAAAATATCACAAATGTGATCCTGGCAGCCCACTACCATGTAACAGAAAAGCCTAATCAGAAAAAATAAAAATAAGACAGACTCCTCCTTCTCAATTAAAATAAACATAGCTTTACCTAGCTGTGAAAAAAAATGTATGTTTATAACTTTATTATTACTATAAAATAGAAGAACATGTTTACAATGTTGGCTCAGTTCTTCAGTCATTGAAATGGTACTTTATATATATGTATGTATGATACTTTATATATATGTATAAATATAAATATATGTATAAACATAATTTTTTTTTAAGACAGAGATTTTTGCTATAAGGCACATGTGCTTGCTGGAAAGACAGAGAGACAGAGAGACAGAAGGTGAGAAATCACCCCCCAGGGGATATGGCCATGCCACAATCCCTTCTTCATTTTTCTCTCAGGATCTTGGCATGCACGCACATGTGCTCAATGTGTTTTAAGTCACCGGTTCTGGAACTCGAACTGCAGTCAACTGCACGGCAGTCCAGTGGTGTATCTCTTATGCCATCTACTGGCACCTGGGTTTTTAAAAATAAAACAAAGAGGGGAACCAGCAGTTAGCGTAATGGCTATGTCGCTGGACTCCCACGTAGTCGACCGCGGTTCGTGTCCCGGACCCGGTGGCTTAAAACTCACGCCGGGTGCGTGTGCGTGCGTGCCCAAGATCCCGACAGGAGAATGGAGGAGAAGGCATTGCGGCGTGACCATCCCCCCTGGGGGGTGATTTCTCGCTTTCTGTCTCTCTGTCTCTCTGTCTCTCTGTCTCTCTCTGTCTGTCTGGCGAGCGCACGCGCCCGACAGTGAAAAATCTCTCCAAAAAAAAAAACAAAACCAAAACCAAAACAAAACAAAACAAAAAAAGAGGGAGCTTTCTCTTTTAAAAAAATATTTATTTAATTTTAATTATGATTATTATTATTTTGTTTGCTATAGTGCATATGCATTTGCTAGGGAGGCAGACAGAGAAAGAGAGAGACAGAGAGAGAAAGAAAGCAAGCAAGCCACCAGGTCCAGGATGTGAACTGTGATCATCCATGTGGGAGTCCAGCCCCTTGACCACCACGCCACCTGCCAGCCCCAAGAGGTAGTTTTCTGCTATCTTATGTATTTATTCTGAGAGAAAGAGAAAAAGAGAGAATCCTCAGCAGGGTCCTACACTGTGATCTACCCCAGCTTCAGCCAGCTTGGATCATGGGCAAGTGTGTGCCGAGAGTACTCAGGGAGGTCTCCAGATGCAAACCTCGAACCTTTCCATGAGTCAGCCTCACAGAGGCTGTGCCAGTGTCTGGCCCTGAGCTTTCTGATATTTAATTCCCTGCATACACACACCGAAATGCAGAGCTATAATGATCTCATTTTATCCAGCAGAGACACCCTTCTCCTTGGGGTACTTTGCCATTCCTGTTTAATGCATGGGGAACAAAAATTCAGAAAAGGACTAGGTCACGATGCAAGTCAAACTGATACAAATCTACCTGCTATCTACTGTGTGTTAGACACAGTTCTAGTGGCTGATAAAGTTGAGTGAGTATACTCTTCCAACTGTAGTGCTGTAATGTTAAAATGAATCAATTCCGAAGTAAACTAATTACTCCCCATGTGTCATGTCAGGAGGTACCTTGGCCCCTAGTCCCCTAGGTCTAGTCAGATACGACATGACATTTCTATCCAGGAGTCAGGCCTGGTGACTCACATCTTAGATGGCTACAGAACAGAGCAGATGGTACGATTCCAAAAACAGCGTTAGGGACCAGCAGTTAGTCCAGCTATGTCGCTGGACTCCCATGTAGTTGACCACGGTTCGAGTCTCGGACCCAGTGGCTTAAACTCACGCCGGGCATGTGTGCGTGCGTGTCCAAGATCCCGAGAAGAGAATGGAGGAGAAGGGATTGCGGAGTGGGCATCTCCCCTGGGGGGGGGATTTCTCGCTTTCTATCTCTATGTCTCTCTCTGTCTTTCTGGCGAGCGCACGTGCCCTATAGCAAAAACCTTTCAAAAAAACAAAACAAACAAACAAAAAACCCCTCACAGCATTATACTAGGAGGGGGCCTGCAGGTTTTCAGCCATCCTGGTGGCCACAGGTGAGTCTGGGAAAGTCAGCGAAAGCAGCAAGATGCAGGATGGTAGCAAGACCTAGGTAGGCAAAGGTTCTCAGTCCAGGGACCTCAGCTGCAGAAAATTCAAGAGTTGGTGGGTGGTGGAGAGGGGCATGAGATTCACACTTTACCTACAGGGGATAAGCTCCTTGGCTTAGGAACCAGATCAAAGAACCCTCACAGAGGGCTTCAAAACCGAGTTCTACAAGATGTCAACAGGAATAAATCTTGCTGCTGGGGGCAAAATGCTATCTGAGAAGAGAACCCCTTCACTTGTATCCTGTCTGGTCAGAATAGGCCTCATGGTAGTTGTGATTGGGGATGGGCTTATACTTCTGAGTAAATTAAAGGAGGAACACACGTGGTGGCTAGCTCTGGGCCACAGGTGAATTGGCTTGGCTCGGAACATTTCTCCCTTCTAGACCTTTCTTTTTCTTTTTTTTTTGGAGAGGTTTTTGCTATAGGGCACATGTGCTCGCCAGGCAGACAGAGAGAGACAGAGAGACAGAAAGCGAGAAATCACCCCACAGGGGGGATGGCCACGCCGCAATCCCTTCTCCTCCATTCTTCTCTTGGGATCTTGGGCACGCACGCACACGCGCCCGGCGTGAGTTTTAAGCCACCGGATCCGGGATGCGAACCGCGGTTGACTACGTGGGAGTCCAGCGACAGCCATTACGCTAACTGCTGGTTCCCTAGACCTTTCTGATAAGACACAGATGCCAAGTTCTATTTGACCTCTCAACATTTGTTTTTGTGTTCAGAGTATCACAGCAGAAGTCCCCGCCACCTGCTTTTGTGCATCTTCCTGTCTCCTTTTTCCAGTTTGAACCATCTTCTCCAGGTTGAACTTTTGAGGGATCTTTACTATTATATATTCCTATATGCTCCTGAATAAGACAACCCCCCAGGGCAGTGTCCTGATTCTTTCATTAAATACTGTACTTCTCTACCTTCCATAAAATATGCTCATGCACAAAAAGTTAGATAACAAAATAATTAGGAAAAAAAATACTTTCTTTAAATAGAATCAATTTATAGACATATTTATAAAAATTTTAGGCCTATTTTACTTAAAGAACTGCATAGACAGGTATATACCAGATGATTAAAAAGTTTCTCTATTATGAACAGTATCCTGATATACATTAATTAAGGTTAATATGAGATGCATTGGGAACCAGCAGGTAGCATGGTGGGTAAGGTGCTGGACTCCACATGGCCGACCACAATTCAAGTCCCAAATTTGACAGCTCAAAGATCACATCAGGCGCGAATGCGTGCGTGCCCAAAATGATAGGAGGAGAATGGAGGAAAAGAGCCATCCCCCCAGGGCATGATTTCTCACTTTCCCTCTCACTGCCTCTCCTTGTCTCTCTGGTGAGCATGCATGCCTTATGGCAAAAACCTTAAGAAAAATAATACAATAAAGAGACACATTGTCATTTGGTGAATTTATTTAGTGGAATTTGGAATCAAGAAGCTTGAGTTTGAGCTCTGGTTCTGTTGTTTGTTTCTGGAGGACTGTAGACACATGAGCTAATCTTTCTAAACTTGTTTCCTTATCTGTGAGTAAAGGTAATCATTATTGACATCCCAACTTCGAAGGTCCACCTGAGACTCAAATGAAATAATGACATGTGTCAGAGTAGTGTGTTCACTGTGAAAGTCCAACATACGTGAGCGGTTGTTGAGCTGCTGACAGGAGCACCGTGTTCTAACATGTACCCGCAAGGAGATGCATACTTCTTTTCTTTCTTTTTTTTTTTTTTTTGTGGAGAGGTTTTTGCTATAGGGTGCGTGCGCTCGCCAGAAAAAGAGAGACAGAGAGACAGAAAGCAAGAAATCACCCCCCAGGGTGGATGGCCACACCACAATCCCTTCTCCTCCATTCTCCTCTCAGGATCTTGGGCACACACGCACACACGCCCGACATGAGTTTAAGCCACCAGGTCTGGGACTTGAACCATGGTGGACTACATGGGAGTTCAGCAACATAGCCATTATGCTAACTGCTGGTCCCTGGAAGGGGCTTTTAACTTTTTTTTTTTTTTTTTTTAATTTCCCAGAGGGTGCATGCATGCTCTGGGGGGAGACAGAGAGAATGAACCCTCTCCCACCATGGGGAATGGTCATACCACAATCTCCTCTCCTCCATTTCTCTCTCTTTTTGAGATTCTGGGAATGCATGCACATGAGCCTGGCATATTTTTCAAGCTGCTGGGTCTGAGACTTGAATCACGTAGTTGGCCATGTGGGATCCAGCTACCTTAACCACTTTGCCACTGGCTGGTTGGCGGACCTCTTAATGTGATCTATTTTAGATACCAATGAAGGGTTAAATTGCTGACACAACAAAAATTCTCCTAAACCTCAGATTTCCTCTTACATGAGGGGTCTTCAAAAAGGTCATGAAAAATGCCTATGATGAAAAGAGTATGCATAGATATCAAAATTTTTTTTGCACCAAAGTAAACACTTTAATTATTTTTTCCCCCACAAACTTTTGAAGTTCCTCTCTTATATATGCTCCTCAAATATAAGGGAAAAGAAGGATGAGAAAAAAATGAAGTCCTGATACCAAAATAATTCCTATAAACTGCTCCCACTCTCGCTAGATTACTACCTGTGACTTGGCAGGGGCTATATACTTGTCAGAGAAAAGATCACTCTGTAATAGACAAAAAAGAAAGTACTTCCTGCTTGTCTCTGGCGATCCCCTTGGACCACGCTGGGGATAACACTGACAGACTGAGGATGATGTCAAATCATGTTTTTCTTGGTTCAACGATTTTGTAGGAAGTTGAATAATGGATATTTAACTCATAAAAAAGAGAAGTTTTATCTTCCACTGTAACACTGTGCTTGGGAGACTTGATAAAAAACCATTTATCTCTAATACCTCTACTATAGACAAAAGAACAGAAAAACAGAGTTTCTATTTGCACATAAACCTTTGTTTTCATCAAGGAAAACCAAATGGAATCTTTCAAATTGCAAACAGTAATTGTTGAAAGCAAAGGTCACACTAGATTAGTTTTATTGAAGAAAAAAGTAGTGATAAAAGCTCTTTCTCTCTAAAACTAATTAAAGAAGTAGATGAAAGAGCTTTGCTGTGGTAAACACACTGTTCACTGAAGCAGGCTCCCATTTAATTTCATGCTGGGCTTGCTCAATTTTTGCACAAAATACAATTGTGAGGTGAGTAAACTTGCATGAGTGTGAATGTGTGTACGGTCTGGCCTGTAGATAAAATCTTGAAAAAAGCAGGAAATTTTCAGTAGAAACATATTACTTGCATGGAGATGACTGACGGGAATCTGTAATACACAAGGACAATCCTATTGTTTTGTTTGTTCATATTTGTATTCAGATTATCTTTCAGGAAAAAAAATCTGAACATTTAAAATGATATGTAGAAGGAGAAATATTTTGCTGTTTCTAGTGTCTGGAGCAATGAATAAAGTCTTGATCATTTTGTCTGTTTTATTATTTGAAACATCGCTGAAGTGACATAAGAAAGCTGTATTCTAGTCCATTCTGCTGCTTTTTGATCACTTGTCAAACTACTTAACCTCTCTGGGATTTAGTGTTCTTTGTAACAGGCTGGCTTAGTAAAGATAATCTGTTTTTCTCTATTACATTATATTTAGAAGCTAATATATTCCTAAGGTGGTAGAAATAAATCAGCTCAGAGACAACCATACCCAGACATAAAATATCAAGTATTACAAAGAAGCACAGAACAACAATTGATGTATTTCCGTTCATGGCTCTTACCGTGTATCTCATAATGAGCACATCTGGGTGAAGTGTCTGGAGAAATGTGTAACATCTGCAGGATAATGCATCACAGGGAGCCTATTTAATGGATTTGTGTCCTGCATTGACTACAATTAATATATAGCCAAGAAAAGGTTTTTAAACGCCTAATTAAAAAGCAGCCCGCAACTGTATTTGCCTTTTAGTCTTATGACAAAAAGATTTGTTTTTCAGAGCTTAGATATTTGTTGACATAGAGTAAGGTATAATGACCAAGTACAATGACTCCATTATGGAATCACTGATTGAAGCCAATCAAGTTCAAGTTGATGATTAGGAGAGTGTTTTAAGCATTTCTTACCTTAATTTCCAGTACATTTTCATTGCCCATTGAGATCATCACTGGCTTTTCAAAAGGCTTAAACACAGGATTATGTACATAAGTGAGATCAAAGTATCTGGAAGGGGTCCCATCTAACAGGAAAAAGGCTTTGGTTTTCAGAGGGAGCTGCAGATTCAGCTGTTGTAATGAAGGAGTTGTACAGCATATTATCTCTGAATTAGAGCGATGGTGACAGGCCTACACGAAGACACAATGATCCACTGTAAACAGAATATAGTTTGACAACATCCATAGCAACTTTCATATGTCACTACTTCAGACAATCAAGGGAAAAGACACAATTTTTAAAAAACAATTTGCATTTAATTTCCTAATATTGAAGAACAAGGTTCTGGAGACATGATAGATGCAAAATTACTTGAACAATCCAGTCTTCAAGGGAACACATAGGTTTGCTTGCCTAAAATATTGCATATCAATTTATCTGAAGCTGGCCCTCACATCATCATTTTATTTTTCTTAAGACAAGACCGCTGCCTGGATGGACTGTTTCCACATCTTATTAACAGCTATGGCTATGTGCAACCTGGACTTTACAGGCTTGGAAGTCCTTGGTTTATACTGTAGCTTTAACTTGAGCTGTCAGAACTAAGTTTCCTCATTTAAACATTAAGATGAAATGTTATGTACAATGTGAGATACTCCATGGTAAAGTGCTTGTAAACTGCCAGGAACCATACAGTTAACATTATAATTAATTACACAGTTAGGTAGTCTTATTAATTCATTATATTCATAGATACCACATTATTAATTATCAACTGCCAAGTTATATGCACAATACTTTACAGGATTGTTCTATTTTAATTCTCATAATAATCCTATAGGTAGGTGCAACTATTATCCACAGTTTAATGATGAAGAAACTACACTTTGTGAGTTTTTGTTATTAGACCAGCTGACAACAGCTCTGAGTCAGAGTATGGAATATAAGTCCTAGGCCATTAATGAAAGTGAATGCTCTTAAACTCCATGTTATACTTACTATTATATATACATACACACATATACACACACACACACACACACACACACACACACACACACATATATATTTTTCTTTTTTTGACAGGCTCTCTCTATG